ACACAGTGTCATACTAGTGTGGCTGGAAAGGGCAGTTCCAGGCTGCTTCACTGAGGGAACATGGTTTTACCATGTGTTTGACACCCAGTTCAAATCTCAGTCTAAGCATAACTCAGTGAACGTCCCCAGAGAAGTGCAGCTTCACAGCCCCACCCACTTCCTCAGCTCTGTGCTACTTATGTGTTCATTGTGCTGGCTGTACAGTTTATGAAAATGTTCTGTACAATCCATTCTTTGTGACCTGAATCTCGGTCTAGGGAAGCCATGAAAAGATGAAAGATTGTTTGTTTCTCCTGCTTACATGGCTCTACACCACATGACCTGGCTGTAGCTGAGTGGACAGAATTGCTGGGCTACTCGAGTCTCCTGGTCATGCAATACGCATGACACACTCTGGTAACATCTGGCACTATCTGAATCAAACAGGCATCTTTGGAAGAACCTCATGCCCTCATTCAAGGCTTGTTTGCCTTGAAAGTTGATTCTAGTTTGAAAGTACAACTTGTTTATTCCCAATTACGAGTGGACTTAGGAATCTACTTAATTGCCCCGTAAGCAGGCAAATGATCTACCATTAATCTTACAGCACATAAATAGGATATCTCTACCAGGTCAAAGTTTCTGTTGGAGCTATCTTCCACAAACCAATCCATTTATATATTAACATATATTAACACACATTCTTCTTTTAAAAAAAACAAAAACATGAATGCTGGCTGTCCATGATGTATGCCTGTAACCCTGGTATTTGGAAGGATTTGGAAGATTAAGAATTTGAAACCAAGTCAGGCGTGGTGGCAGACAAGTTTAATCCCAACACTGGGGAGGCAGAGACAGGTGGATCTCTGTGAATTGGAGGCCAGCCTGGTCTACATACTGAGTTCCAGGATAGCAAGGTCTCTGTAGAGATACCCTGCCTCAAACAAGCAAACAAACCATCTGAAACCAGCCTGGGCTACACAATAAGATCTTGTCTCAAAACATTTTGTAAAAATAGCTAATGAATGATATATCACAGATTCTCCACATACAAGTCAATCATCTTGATAAAGAATTTTTTGAGTTCAAAGCCTAAAAACAACTCAACCCAATGACCAGCATTTTAGAGTGAAGGAAAACTGGTACTGAATCACTGAGTTTCAAACTACAGAGAATGAGAAATGATAACAGCAATTGATGATGACAACTAAATTGTCTTCATACTTAGAATGGACCAGTAAGAAAAGTTACATGTGAAGAATCAGCCAAGTGATTGACACAGCCCAAGTGATGCTGATCTGTGACCATCTACAGTTCCACACCCAAGATCTATTCTTGCAGACACCATCTCAGGCTCTGTGAGAGTTTCAGCTGGTCTGAAGACACTGCTCCTTTAGAGACAGAAATGTCTTATGTTATCTAGCAGTTTCAGCATAGACATATAAAGTGAGGATCTGCCCTCTCATGAACTGACAACACTGGTGGTGATTTCATTATTGTGAGGATCTCTGAGTCTCTGCTCATTCTCTAAGTACTAGAAAATATCAAGATGACATGAATGTAGAGAGTTTAAGGAGAAAAATGGTACAACTTTAAGTACTATGCGTATCATCTTAGACTTGTGCATATCTCATCATTCAACCAACATTTGAGCATCTACTGAGTGCTAGACACTGTGCTGTTTGATTTGAGATCTATCATCAAACAAAACAGAAATATCCTAAGCTTCATAGGATTTACATTCAGCAAAATATATAGATGTACAGCTATAAAAATCAAATAGGTTAGAAACTATTAAGTGCTATTTAAAAAAAAAAACGGAAAAGGGTGGGTGTGAGGAGTTTGAGGATGCTGGGTAGGGGAGAAATCTTCACCTGCAGCCAGGTTAAAATAGCACTAAGGGTGCTTTACTGCCCTATACATACATGTAAGTAGGAAGTGGTAGACTAGGAACTCAGTGACCCTGGCCAGCCAGTCAGGAGAGACTTCCAGTGGCAGGCAAAGCCAGGTCATGGAGAACCTTGGAAGCCACGGTAAGGTCATTAGATTTTTTTATTCCTTTAAAGATTACCTATGACATACATTTTTAATCAAAAAAGAAAACTAAGTGAGAAAGTTATAGGCATATTAAAGCTATTCCTTGGAGGTAAATTCTAAAAGGAATTTTGATCAAAAATCCCTCATTTAAACTGCTGCATCAGAATTAACTTCTTATAAATTCTCTCTAAAGTTAACTATGAAAGTAGGAAATTCAATGTATTAGCAAGAGCCCTTGACTATAGTACACGGTGGATGAAAGTGTTAATCCTGCAACTACTGCCCTCATGGGCATTGAAAGCATTTGTTAATTATCCTGTAATAAACATCCAAGAGCCATTCTCATAGCTGCTATTAGCATTCTGCTATGAAAAGCACAGCTTTGCTGATGTCAACACATAAATATTATCCAGTACAAATATAAAACAAAAAATAGGATTAGTGGCAGTTTATTGCCATATACAAACTTAATTAACTTAGCAGCCATGACAGAGGAATTAAAACACTTTTAGGACCTATGTAGCAGACCATACAGTTTAAACACAACAAAAGTGTAAGAACAATCTGTGTGTGCATTATATAGCAACTCAACAAGTGGGTGAAAACCCTGATGAAACAAGCAGAATTATGGGGCCATCAAGATGGCTCAATAGTGAAGGTGCCTGCAGCCAAGGATGACAGCATGAGTTCAATCTTAGGAACCCACAGGACAGAGGAACTTATTCCTCCAAGTCATTCATTGACCTCTACACAAAGGTGGCCTGGGGAGTGCTGATACTGATGAAAGTGGAGTGGTCAGATTAGGTATCTGCTGAGTCTATCACGGGTGTGATGGGCAAGAAGGAGGAGCTAAGAAAACAATGGAGATTTGAGGCCTGACTCTCTGGAAGGACAGTCAAGGGCAGAGCAAGTTTGGGGATGTGAGATCAGGTCTCCGTGGCTATTCACATTATGTCTGAAACAGCCAGCAGTCATGCAAATGCCAGTATTTAAGTAAGCGTTTGCACATAGAGCTCTGGTGAAAATTCAGTAAAGGATCTAGGCTAGAGATGCCGAAATAATGTGTATTGTCTGAACTCAGGAAACTGGATGAAACTCCCAGTGGACACACATCAAAAGGATCAAAGAACAAGGCTTGGGACATGCTCATGATAGGGGTAGGGCAGGGAGGAGCCCAGCAAAGAAACTTTGAAATAGCAAAATTCCCACGTTGCCATTTGGGGAATGTGAGTTTCACACACCTGTAACTGTGGAGGCAAGGAAGGAAGATAGACAAGGTCAGCCTGAGCTCCAGACTGTCTCAAAACAGGGAGAAGAGGGGATTACACAGTAAATGTATCCTTGAGTAAGAGACAAATGTATGTTGGCAAAGCTGATTAACAGACTCATATTCCAACAAGAACTAATAGTTTTACAGACAACTGGAAGAATGAAAAGAGACTGTCAGGTCAGGTTTTATCTACTATGAATGCCACAAAGAACAAGGCTTGGGACATAATCCCTAGTCCTTCCATAGACCAGCTCACCTCCAGCCCAGCTGCTTCCTCAACTGTGCTGGCAAGAGAACAATATGGAGAATTCAGAAATCAAATTATTCTTAAATCCAGGCATGTTCCCTACCTCTCATCACCATTCCTTGGCTCAATTACTTTCTGAGCTGCACACAGGAGCCCACAAAGGACTTGTGGTATACTTATTAGCTGACCCTCTAGGCCCAGTAATTTTATGAGCCACTGTTACTTTCACCAAAACTTTTAACTAAAGAAAAATTGCAGATGTCCCTACATAGACTATAAGGTTAAGAAAAAACACAAGTCCACACCTGTAGTTAGTACATGCACAAAAGAAGAACCAAAGCAAATGTCGTTTTTGTTTGTCATTGAACCATATCTATTTTCCACCACAACAGTAAGGAAGAAGAAAAAGAGAAGGTGGAGGAAACAGAGAGAGCACCTTTGAGTACATTTTGCTAAGGACAAGTCTCTTGATGATGCTTATTTTCATTTCAGTATAAATAGGCTGAATTTTGACATGTAAGAAAACAATAAGGGGCTGGAGAGATGGCTCAGCGGTTAAGAGCACTGACTGCTCTTCCAGTGGACCCAGGTTCAATTCCCAGCACCCACATGGCAGCTCACAGCTGTCTGTAACTCCATTTCCAGGGGATCTGATACCTTCACACCAATGCACATAAAATAAAGTTAAATAATTAAAAAATCTTGAAAAAACAAAGAAAAGAAAACAATATAAACTGCTTGGGTACTTGAAATCCTAATTTCCCATAAAACTTTAAGGGTCTTCTAGCATTTAAAACTGGCCTATCATTTCTCAAATTCTTCTCTGAAGAGAATTCCTGTTTTTCCAGAAGTAGCCCACAAATAGATATAATGTTTCTTTGTGTCAGTCACTGACATCTTGTTAACCACTTAATTGTTGCATCCTCTGTTGAGAATTATTACAAGGTCATTCATTATACTAGCTTTTTCCCTGAATAAGATCAGCAAGGACCTCTAGAAGTGACCTATCAGATCTTTTTTATTCCATGTATTTTGGTGAAAGGGGTTCACAGATGCCGCACTGAAGGTCAAGAGGACAGCTTCAGGAGTCACTTCTCTCCTTCCACACGTGGGTTCCAGACATCCAGCTCAGTTGTCAGGTGTGGCAGCAAGTACCTTTCTCCACTAAGCCATCTCACCCATATCAAATATCTTACCTTGGTAAAATTTGCTCCAAGATTTTAGTCATCCTCTTAGAAATTGCTTTCATTCGGAATTTTTAAATGCTGGAGTGTACCATAAGAGTCTTTGTTTAATAGTCTGATGGGGAAACTGTTCTTGTTTGAAAGACCTTTAATTCCCAGAGTCTGGGGTCACAATCAGGACAATGTCTGAGGTGGAAGTCACCCTGACCTGTCTTGCTCTTCTAGATCTCCCTGTGTGATCTGATGACATTTATTACAAACAGAGCCAAAGATGCATACTCACCAAGTGGACATAAGGCACAAAGTATCCAAAAAGTGCAAGTGGTATTCCAGCAGCCCACACTGCATAAGCTGTCACCTTGAAGATGGCAAAATTGAAAAACTTTTTTGGAGGACTAAACGTTCTCCTGGAAAAGAAGGAGAATCTGCTGCTCTCGCTCTCTTTCTCTTTGACGCTGGAAACAAGAGGGCGGTAAGTAAAGCCAGCCAGAAAGAGAACGAACATGAAGATGCAGAGGACTCTCAGTGTGTTAAAGAGGCCCACTCTTTCTGTCAGATTCCCTAGAAGCAAAGGTAGCAAAATTGTGAAGACACTGCTGCCGGCCGTGACGATGCCGTTAACTAGTCCAAGGCGCTTCTTGAAGTAGTGTCCCAAAATAACCAATGAAGGCTGGTATGCAAAGGAGCAGCCGCAGGCAAATATGATTCCATAGGTTAGGTACAGAGGCTCGATGGAGCTGCATAGAGATGAAAGAGACAGAAAGCAGCTTTAATCTTTTTTATGGTGCTTAATAAAAGAAAACCTTATATAAGGGGATGGAGAGACAGCTCAACAGTTAAGAGCATCAGCCGCTCTTGCAGAGGCCCTGGACTTGGTTCCCAGCATCCATATGGCAGCTCACAACCACTATAACTCCAATCCCAGGGGATCTGATGGCCTCTTCTGACCTCTGTGGACACTAGGCATGCACATGCTGCACATACATATATGTATTTAAACATACATAAACATGAAATAAAATTAAATAACTCTTAAAAGGAACTCCCTTAGTAAAAATAAATCTTGTCAACCTTTTTTCTGAAAATAAAAATGGGGAAAGGTATAATAAATCAAGAATATAGCAGTAAAATATTTTAATTTAGTTTGATTGTATAAAAATATAACCACTAAGGTTATCAGTGATTCTGCTCCCCTTTGCCTGCCGAGGACTTCTGGTGAACCATACACATACAGCATTGGGTAAGAACTATGTTCTCCACAGCTCAGAAATAAAGACTGCTGCCAGGAAGGGACAATAAAATCTTGTTCAATAGGACTTCAAATTACAATTTAACTGTGCACACATGTTATTTTTATGGCATTTTCCCAGGTGCTTACTAAGCAATATGGTCAAAGAAAAGACTATGTCTGGTACTGTCTCCTCAGTGTTGTGTCAAGGACATTTGAATTCAAGAGCAGTTGTGCTCCTCCCACCCCCACTGTCCTACAGCTGTCAACCAACCTTCGCCCTGTATTGCGCTATTCCCAGCATTGTGCAAGGTAAGAAGAAATCATATTCCGATTGCATTAAGACTGAATTAAGTGTGCTCAGCAGTGATTCCAGTCTGCAAGTTTTTAAAGTAACTTATTGCTTAATGTTTCAGAAGAATGCAAGAATTTTTAATTTAATCAAATAATTGTACATCTCTTAGGAAGGTGAAGGATTATGTGCTTGGAAACAAGTAAGGTAAGGACTAACAGAAAATAAGTTAAAAGTTCTCTTCTTGTTCTTTCTTTTTTTTCAAAGTCCAATTTAAAAGGCTATTTATCAGTAGATAAAGCTGGTTAATAATTAAATTTTGGACAATAGTGCTCACTTACCAATATAGTGAGGGAATCACAAGGAACTCAACTCTGATCAGATGAAGACACGTTGGCAATCCTCTGAGATGCCCTTCCTTCCCATGTTACTTCTAGGCCTTCCCAGGTCAGCCTCACTTCATTCTGATCACAAGTTACTACATCACCACTCTTCTTTTTGTTTGTTTGTTTGTTTGTTTTTGTTTTGCTTTATCAAGACAAGGTTTTTCTGTGTATCCCTGGCTGTCTTGAAACTTGCTCTGTACCCAGATTGGCCTTGGACTCAGAGATCCTCCTGCCTCTGCCTTCTGGGTGCTAGGATTAAAGCACATGCCACCACATCCTGCTCAAATCTCCACTCTTGATTCAACAGACACACTAAACAGAAACTTGGTGGGAAAGTATTGAAAAGTATTTGTGTCTTCAAATTACTCACAGTAGGCATAAAGAAATACTTCCATCCCTAGCCCCAGTAAGAATTATGAAGAACAAACAATGCTTTGTTTCAAAAAATATTTTAATTATTATCACTTTATATTATGTGTATGGGTACTTTTCCTGCATGTACATCTGTGCACCATGGGTGTGCCTGTTGCTCACAGAGGCCAGAAGAGTGCATTGGATCCCTGGAACTGAAATTACAGACAGTTGTGAGCCACCATGTGGGTGCTGGAAATTGAACCCAGGTCCTCTGCAAGAGCAGCCAGTGCTCTTAATCGCTGAGCCATCTCTACAGTCGGTGCTTCATTCTTTTTGGTTGGAGGGGGAAGTTGTCTGTTTTGTTTTTTAGGTTTCTCACTACATGGCAGAGATTAACCTTGAGTTCACAATGCTTCATTCTGTACCAAATTTTCCCCATAAGCAGTTCTCTAAATAAGTGCAAGTTCTCAAATTCTCAAAATTTTAAAGAAAAAAATGTAATATTTATATGCTTTTCTCTACCTTCCTCAAAATACATATTAAAAATAGTTTTGATAATATCATCATCACAAACATTAAGTGCTACAGTTACTCCACAGTATGGAGACAATAAACCAGACAGCCATGAACATACGCCAGAACCATTCTTTTGCACATGGTTTGAAATCTCATGTACTTAGTGGGAGTGGTCTCCCATCTCCCCGTCACTGCCCTCACAGAGCTTGTGTCCCTTACATCTGTCCTCATGACAAACAGCTGATTTCAGTGTTTGACATCTAACTGCAGTGTAAGGCAGTGAGACTATACGATTCTAATCACATGCACAAGGGCTCAGAGCCACGGCACTGAAGTGACCCAGTGTGCTAGAGAAGGCTTCTTAAGAAGGCCAAAGTGGAATCACTAGAAAGTCGGACCTGCCACCTCACGCTGGTGAACTTACACCAGCTTTCTCCGTGGTACACTGTGTTGGCCTGACAGCCTTTGAGTAGTGGGTTAAAGAAACGAGTCATGTGACATGCTATTACATATTATTAAGGTCAATGTGGCCTCAAGAATTGCTTCTTCTGCACTTTGAGATGTGGGGATGGGAGAAAGAGAGGAACACACTGGGTTACAATGTAAAATTTTTTTCACTAGTCAGAAAGGTTTGAAAAACATGCCAGGCGTTGGTAGCACACACCTTTAATCCCAGAAAATGCTTGGTGTTTGTGTGTGTGATTTCCTACTGAAATGCATAACAGGCTCTGCAGGCTTTCACTTGCTCTCCATACCCTCAGCAAGGGGCAGAGCCACAGGTTCTTAAGCAGTATCTGGAGAATTCCAAACAAACTTCTTTTCTTTTTAAATAAAAAGTTTAGAAGCAGTCAGAAAGGCTCCTTAAAGATGAAAACCTGTTTTCCACTAAGAAGTATAATTTTTAAAAACTCAAATAAAATTTTAAGTGGAGAAGTACAAAAGCTAAGTGCCTGCTTTAGATTGAGGAAGGGGTGTGTGTGTCTACTAGGAAGTGAAGTGAGAGAAGCTAAGGATTCTGCTGACTAAATATGAAAAATCTTAAAATAAACAGGGCCAATATTACAACCTAGATCCCTTCTTAACCCCACCCATGACTGTTTTTCAAGTAAGGAAACAAGAGGGTGGGCAGGGAAACAAAAGAAGTGGGAAGTGCGGACCAGCTGAGAACGGTCTCGGGGCTTCTCCTTGCTAACTGCCTCCTGCTACCAGTGGGAGAACACCAGTGCTTGGAGAACACCAGTGCTCCTCTAACTGAAAGTTCTCAGAACCACAGAAAGAACCACGTGTCCTTTGATATCACAGTTCTTTGGAGGCCTGCATCTTTCTTCTAATAGATGTCACATATGACATTAAGTTTTAAAGAGTATTTAACCACTTCATCTTGTCATGGTATTTAAATAGTTTAATATGTTCTTTTTATTTTTTCTTATTTTTCAAAGCATAGACTGGAGATCTCTACTTGAGTTGGCACTAATTGAGAAGCTCTTATTCTCAACAATAAAATAATTTTCCTATCAAGCTTATTACTTAAACATTTCTCTTAGGCTGGGCAGTGGTGGCGCACGCCTTTAATCCCAGCACTCAGGAGGCAGAGGCAGGTGGATCTCCATGAGTTCAAGGCCAGCCTCGGCTACAGAGTGAGTTCCAGGACAGGTTCTGGAACTACAGAGAAACTCTGTATCGGGAAAAAAAAAAAAAGTGTGTGTGTGTATGTATACGTATGTGTAAATGTATATGTAGATGTACATATATGTATGTGAGTGTGTGTATGTGTGTATGTGTATATTTATGCATATGTGTATGTGTATATGTATGTATATCCCTTAGAATCCTTGAGATCTGAAGATGGCAGTGACTTTAAACTGAAACCATAGCTTTAGATAACTCATAGATATAACTTGAATCCTTTAGGAGATTTATGTAAATAGGTTTAAACAAAAGGAAAAACATTTTTCTTGGCTCCAGTAAACACATGCATCCTGACATCTATAATTGGCCACCTCAGGTGCGCTGCCATGAGCGACAATTCTGATCTCCAATTGTTGGCATTTTAAGGGGATTTTCCTCATAAATAGCAAAGACACTGGAAGGTATTTAACAGCTCTTCAAGAGCAACGGGAAGCAGACACATCCTTACCTTACGAAAGAACTGGACATGAGTCCAATGAACCCCACGGCAGCACCCACGACAGCTGTTTTCCGGCAGCCAAACATGTCTGTGAAGACACTGACTATGGGGCAGCAGAAGAAGATCATGCCCATGGACAGCGAGCCGACCCACGCTGGAAAGAGAGGAGAGAAGAGAGCCTCACAACACTGCCAACTGCACTCAGCCCATCCGAGCGCTGGTGCACACTGGTAACCAGAGGGGTACTGCAACACCAGCTTAAGTTCTCCGCCAGTGGTGAGTCATACAGCAACTGTATTTAATTGAATTCTTGTAAGGTTTGTGCTTTTCAATTAATTAAACATTCCTCTATGGCCCTGTCTAATTCACATGTGTGGTCATAAGCAATTTCTAATCTATGAAACAAATTGCATTAGATAAAAAAATTAAAAAGAGAGTTGAGCTTGGTGAAGCACACCTATGGTCCCAACACTTGGGAAGCAAAGACAGAAGAAAAATGAGTTTGAGTCAGGTTGGGTGACATAATAAGACCCTCAAAAATACACACACATTTAGATTAGGAATTGATACTGGGGAGGACAAAATGCAAAAAAAAAAAAAAAAATTACCACTGAAATCATGGCAGGGGTTTTTACTCTTTCCTTTAGAATGTTCTTTTCTTTTTTTTTTAAGACAGGGTCTCACTCTGTAGCCCCTGCTGGCTTAGAACTCTTTATGTTCCCCTAACTGGCCTCAAACTTACCCCAATTCTGCTGTCTCAACAGTCTTCCAGACTCCTAGAACTACAGATGTGGGCCACCAGCTTGGCTGTGATGAACTCAAGTAGATTACTATCCTTTTATAACAAACAGTGAAGGAGTGATTGATCATCCGCATAGCATCTGGGCTGGATTTTTGTTTTTTTGTCCTAGAGATTGACTTATACATAGTAGGTTATTTCTGACCTGGAGAGTCACTACAGGGTATTTGTTTTTATCATTAATTATAAAACTACGCTATTCTCTTCTCTCTTTTCTTCTTTGAAAGTATGTTATTTTCCACAACCTTAAAAAAAAAAAAAAAGGTAGTAGCTATCAAAAATCATGGTTTCTGCTTCTCATTCTATAAAAAACAAAACAAAAGCTGAAAAGATTAAGTACAAATGTTCATTAACAGTGTGTTAAAGAACTGAATGTCATCAAGCCTAGACATTCTTCTAAAAATAAGCTAATAAGGCCTACATGAATGTAGCTGTACAACAAGCCCTATAATAAAGTTGCCCCTGAGAAGTCACTCCCCTTCTGAGATGGTTTAAATATCTTGGAAATGGACTTGACATATACCTTCCCAGAATTACTGAGGATTGGGAAAAGTGTAAGTGAACCTCAGTGCCCAGGTACCACACTTCCTAATCTAAAAGTTCTTGTAACAGTAAGACTAGGTGATCCATGAGAACATGGCCCACAGAATCAACCAAGCAGGGCTTGTAGGGGTTCACAGAGACTGAAGCAACAAACACAGACCCTGAGCTAGTCCTCTTCATATACCTTATGGTTGTGTGGCTTGGTGTTCTTATGGGACTCCCAACAGTGGGAGTGGGGGGTGTCCCTGACCCTTCCTCCTCCTTGGTTGCCTCGTTCACCCTTGATATGAGGATTTGTACCCAGTCTTATTGTAACTTGTTACACCTTGTTCAGTGGAAATCCCTGAGAGGCCTGTTTTTTTGCAGGGGGGATGGAGGAGGAGTGGATCTGGGGGAGACAGGAGGTTGCAGGAGAGACTGGGAGAAGGTGAGGAAGGAGAAACTGAGGTAGAGATGTAATGCATGAGAGAGAAAAAGAATGTAGGTAATCTTTAGCTCCAGCAGCTCTGAAAATTTCCTGCCTGTGTTTCACTACTTCCTTAACAGAGGCATGAAAACCAAACTCTGTAAAAAACCCTTTCCTAGTACTAGGTCTAAATGAAGCTTGACCATATTGATAACTTCACACTTTTTTATTTCATGCACTTAAGTCATTCTTAAATTATGTACATAATATACTTAAATAGCCATGATTCTAGTTTATCAGAAAGAACTGTATGTGTGCCGGAACCAAATGCAGTCCTGCAAGAGCCCAAGTGCTCTTACCCACAGAGCATCTCTCTCTCTCCAGCCTGGTGCTGAAGAGAACATCTCCAAAGAATACAAAGAGCAGTATGGATCCAAACTAACTAAGCAGGACACCGCAGGACAGTCTGCTAGACTGTCAGTGAACCTGCTCCTTCCAAGCCAAGGCCTCAACCAAGAA